GAGATATAAATTAAAAGAAGTCAGGTTATAAATTTAAAACAAATTTTTATATTATTGTAATAAATGTTCACCTAAATGTTCACCCACGTTGATCTAAACCCTGTAAATGCCTGTAATCGTGGAAAACTTGCTTAGACTTTTTCTAACTCTTGAATTGTTATTTCACGAGAAATAGTTTTTATTCTTTCTATCATGTTTTTTCGAAATAGTGAAGAAAGAGCTGGCTTACTTTCGTCCTACCAATCCGGAAAATATGATAAAAAGAATACAAAATATTTTTCGCGAAATAATGATTCAAGAATTAGAAAAAATCCAAGCTTCACAGACTTATATAGGCATGTTTAGATATACATGGTAAACATTTTGAAAATTTGTGATGATACGCCCTTCACTAGTTCCAGGCCGATTATCTGCCCAACATAAGCTGTATTCCAAAATTCACTATCAGTGCTGAAAATGTATAGTACATGGTTATGCTCAGCAGAAAAAGCAGCTTTGCAACTGTTGTAAAATTCTTGAATATGATTGGTTCTTGCTTTTGATTCCTTATGGATCTAAATGTATAAACAAATTATATTGAAAAATATTACAATAGTTGCAAAGCTGCTTTCTCTACTGAACGCAGCCCATGTAATGTAGACTGTAGATTTTCAACGCAGTGAATTTTGGAACACAGCCGTACCCAGCGCTTTGCGTCACAACTCAACTTTCATATGCATAATCACGCGTACTGCGTGATTGCGACCAGTACGTATCCCCTTCTGCTGCGCACTTCGCTAAGCGCCCACCAGCTTGGATATAAATTCCGGACCAAGCAATGCTCAACCCTGACTCTCGATCAGGTACTCCCGATCTTCCGTACTGCGTACGAATGCTTCCGTTCACAGCCGAGTGCTCCAGGTATTATTCGGTGTACTTCTCGCCAGTCAAGCGCTGCTGACTGATATCCATTCTTCCTGATACCGCCTACGAATCGGGTGCTCCCGGTCCGGCCTCTTTGTATCCGCGATATTCATTTGACGCGTCACGCGTCAAATAGAGGAAACAACTAGATTATCATAATTCCTACGTCGCATTTGATGCGTTTACAGTTTAATTTATAGTTTACAATACAATTAGCCAATCTCAAATAGCACCGTCATATTTGGCAACATTTAGTCTTGTTTGGCATATTGAAATCGAAATGAGAACAATATTGGGTCAATATAGTTCGTTTTCAGCACCGAACAAGACTAAACACTGTCAAACATGACGATGCCATTTAAAGTTGGATAAATTCAACTGTAAACGCATCAAACGCGACAGTGTTAGAAGTTACTATAATCTAGTTACCATATTTCCCCAATGACGCACCCATCAGTTCTTAGCCCGAATCCTCATACAGACAACAGCGCTTTAATACTGAATGCTGATTGATGAAAAGCCGGTTGTGAGAGTAAAATTTACCTCCATCACCCGTTTTCACAATCAACGTTCAGTGTCAAAGCGCTATTGCCCGTATGAAGATCAAGACTTACCTTAAAGGGGCGTATTCGCATTGCAATAATAAAAAAGTTCGAATGTATCTGACTTCTTTTATATGTGTATCTCGAAAATAATTGAGTTGTCGAAAAAAATACTCTAATACAAAGATATTTAACTAATTGAGTAGTATCAATAGAATGACTAAAAATACCCTTTCTAATTAAAAAGAAGTCTGTTTTTATTGATAGTAAAAAAACGAAGGATATTTAAGACTACTCAAGATTATCGAAGTATGGGTCCCCTATTTATCCTACAATTTTGATTAAGTATTGTAATAAATCATCCCCTTAAATCTGTTCTTTTTCTAAAGTTCTTGCACAGTTCATCTTTCTTTCTTTTCTCCCCATGTCGGGGAAAAAAGAGAAAAGATAAACCATGCAAGAAGTTCAGCTAAAAAGAACAGGGCACCTATCATGAAACAAAATCGGAATGGATTCCGATCGGAATTATTCAATTATTCCCTATATTTCTATTGTGTTTTTTGAAGAAAACGGAATAATTTCGATCGGAATCCATTCCGATTTTGTTCCGTGATAGATGTCCAGGCCTCTTTAACCGTTTTTGAAAAAAATACATGATGAACTTTTTATCAGACTCACCCTATATATATATATTTTGGCAACTAATAAATCTAAAATAGATACACAATATCTTTTTTATACTTCAGTGCAATAAAGTTACTCGATTAGATCTACAGAAAAGAGAGAATATAATGTAATAAGCATTTTTAAACAACTACGTATCGTAGATATGTCTTAATAAATAAATATGAAAAACAGAGACTAATAACACATTTTGTCAGTGAGAGGAGACACATAAAACAGTATTAAAAAAATTAATAATGCGGAAAAATATAAGCTTTACGTGAAGTAACATACAATTGACGAAAACAGCAAAAGAGCAAATTGTGAAATGCTCAGCAAAAGAGCAAATTGTGAAATGCTCAACAAAAGAGCAAATTGTAAAATGCTCAGCAAAAACAAGGAGCAACCTATGCAATAAATGAAAGCTGCTTATAGCGAAGACATTAAGCTTCAGTGCAAAAGAATAGATTAAAATGATCAAGAGAAAGAATATGTATTTTATACAGAGTCTCGTAAAGACCGTAATAATACTTATCAAGGAAAAACGTGAAATCGGGTAGACGTCTATTAGACGTCGGAGGCATCTACATTTTAAATAAGGCCTAAAAAAAAATTAATTTTATACGTCATATGATTTTGTATTATTTTTTTATTATTGTGTTATATTAAGCATGCGCAAAAAATAATATTCACACAATAGCAGATCTTTATTTATGAGATACTCTTTTATATTGTAAACAGAACCGCGATATTTTGAAAATTAGCCCAAGGGCTTATCTGAAAGCCCTTCTCTCCCTACCTAGTAAATAAATATACTTATTAATTACAAAATAAGGCTAAATAATTAAATAATAAACATTTTTTCCTAGGGAGGAATAAAAATCAGACATCGATCGAATTAAACATTTAACATCGGCTGTTTTCCAACTAGGACACGCGTGTGCGCGTGCAGAATAGCTATGTGTATATAGCTATTATCTCAGCGAGAAATATGTAACCCGCGTCAATCAATGTCAAAACCATGTCAAATTGACATCAAATTTATGATTTCTACGTGTCTTTGACGTTACTCGACATCTTGTGTAATCATACGTATGATTATATAAAATATCTAGTACATATCAGATGTCAATCTTGTAGATATGTCTATTAGTCATCTAAAAAATGACATTTCAACCTAGATGCGTCTATAAACATATTTTAAACTGTCGAATAGACGTTTAATAGATGTCTATCCGATCTCGCGTTTCTCCCTGGGTAATTTTAGATTCGTGAGATCATCTTAAAACAAAAAGTTTAATATTTCAAAATGTCGAAACTGAAGTCATTTTTTAATTATAAAGTATTTACAGTTAGCGAATCATATCGTCTAGAATTTGCACGTTTATATGCGGTACAACGCAAAATGCTAAAGGCGAAAGCTGATTTATCATCCCTCTTATTAACATCGATATAAGGATTACACATGCGAATATAAGATTATTTTATTGGTATTCACATGACGTATAATATTAATATTTTTAGACTTTATTTTAGATGTAGACGTCTCCGATGTCTATCCGATCTCACGTTTCTTCCTGAGAAGATGATCGTAACGATAGTCATAGTCGTAGGTCAACGCACAATGTTTTGAGCTTGTTCTACAATACAATAAGATCGCAAGCCGTATGAAATTATTGGCTTAGCGCCGAGATACTACTGTGTTTCCTGAACCAATCATAGTCTATTATTTTTTTCGTATTTAACTAGCTAATTTCTTACGGCTTATGACTTGCGACCCTATTGTAAAACAGGCATTGGTCAATTACAACTATAACTTATGTTCTACGATTCAGTTACGATTATCTTCCTGCTTACAGGCCTTACATAATAGAATCACAAGCCATAAGTCGTAAGAAATTGACTAGTCACAGTCGAATAAGAGAAAAATAATCTATGACTAGTTAATTTCTTACGGCTTATGTCCTTATTGTGTAACAGGCCAGGCCTTTTCTCGCCTACGTTGGATGACATAACCATCACGCATAGACAGCGTATGAATATTGCCTCACCTGAGATGCGTTCCATTTTACGCATGATGCGCATGAATCACAAAATGATATATTATGCGACATGATATATCATTTTATCCTTATTGTTCACCGAATATTAAAGAAAGATCATGCGCATTATGCGTAAAACGGAACGCACTCCATGCCTCATCTCGGGAGATGAGGTAATCCATATGCTGTTCTAAGGCTGAAGTGACCAAATTATTGACATTACAATGGTACAAAAATCTGATGAATTGACTGAACGGAATCAAAAATTCTTTTATAGGATTAAAATAGACACAAAGTTAGGAACTGGTGCAGTGAATTTTATACTAAAATCGAAAAAAAAATTAAAAACTTACTTAACTTTTTTTTAATTTTAATATAAAATCCACTGCATCACCTTCTAACTTTGCGCCTATTTTAATACTGTAAAGGGATTTTTTTATTCATTTCAGTCAATTCGGAGATTTTTATACAACTATAATGTAATAATTTGGTCACTCCAGCATCGAGTTCAAGTCGGCAAAGCGGCTAGGTCTGTTTGTCGAACAATTAAACACGATTGATTGGATTCTCAGAAGAATTAATAATGCTCATTCGCTCGACAAGCATGTCTAACTACTTTGCTGGCTTGAATTTACCCGATCTGTGCATGGAGTGAAGCGGAACGACTTCTATGCTCTCTATGTGATCATGCATGAAACGGAACGCAGCCATAGAATTATGATGGAGAAATGGTGAAGAATTGTGAAGAACTATTTAATAGACGCTTCTACTTCGGACTAACTTTCCTATAATATAAATAAATAAATATATACCATAACCGGATCAATCTCTAATAATGTATGGCGCTAACCTATGATTGCTGTAAAACAGCATAAGTGACATCATACACGTTGTACATCACACGTATCAATGCGTCCAGCGTTGCATCCCAATTAGACGTACCATAGCATGGAAATAAACAACATTATTCGTATCGATGATTGATGATCTTGTAAAAATAAATATTGGATATTTTCAAGAATGAAAATATTTCTTTCTTTGCAAAAATTTTTCGCAGATGTATGAAATATGTATACCTGAATATAATCATCGAACAATATAGAGATGCGATTCTATGAAAACAGAGCATAATTGCAAGATTGTATTAAGCGAAGCTATTATAAAAAGGAAAACACTACATTTTTTTATTCATGTGAAATATATGCAAAATTATAAATAAATGGAAAAGAAAAACTAGAAAACTATGAAGATAACTTATCATTAAAATATTACAACAAACATTTTATATTATATAATACATATCGAGTTTTATGAATGCAATAAATGATAATGTCATCTATATTGTGATAATATTTGCTTTTAAGATGTTTCCAAGTATTTTCATTCTTTTATAAATGTTATCAATTGTAATAATTTATTAAGTTTTTTTATGCTTATATTTGATGAAAACATGTAATTGCAGTAAATTTAATTTTTCACTATCATTGTAATATCTATAAACAGGAACAAATCTATAGTAATTTTCAACAAAATAATGTGTCCCAACTATTGTCTCTGTCTTTGCTGACTATATTTTGTTTAACCCTTAACCGGGCGCACCTCCCGGCCAAATATTAGTGGGCGCACGTGGCACTGAGTGCCGCATCATAAATTTATTATTTAGGAGGATTATTTATAATAATTGAATAAATAATTGGGCAATCATCATAAAAACAAGTAAGATATATTTATAATAAAATATAATATTAAAATTTAACATTGAATGAAAAATACCAAAGGTCGGTAATAAAAAAAGATCTGCATTACCAATGATTTTTCAGAAAAAATTTTGCAGTACTCAGTGCCGCGGCGCACCCGATTAAGGATTAAAAATAATATGGTATATGTTTATATGTAAATATTAAATTTATATAAAACATAAGAAAAAACTAATTTTAATTATTTAATGCTTTAATTTATAGCCAAAACTACAGTACTACTTCTGTTTATTATATATCGCGCGTGATATTTATATTGTTTATATAAAAAATTGAGTAAAATATTATATATGATTAAAAAGCACAATACAAATAAAAAGCGTTACATATGTATAACTTATGGATATTGGATACCGGAATTACATGTTATATGTAATTGAATAATAATGTAAATTGAATAACAACTTATTATTCAATTGAATATTTTTAAATATCATTGTTCAAGATCATTCAGAAATTCTCTCTTTTAGACTGTAAGCTTATTAATGTTCACACTAAGTCGAACTAACTTTGTTGCATTCTTTAAAGCCTACAATGTATTGTATTATAGAATATTAAACTTCATACATATATCCATATGTCTCATTTAAATGACTTTATGTTAGATTAATCTTTGACCTAATAATTATATACTCGTATAATGATAGAAACGATATATTAAGTAAAAGTTTGGACACATAATAATAAAATATCTCTAACATCTCTATCATTTCCTGTAAAATGTATAAGTATAAATTCAAAGAATTATCAAAAATACTAAAATCAAACCTGTTGTTAGAGCAGGCGTCCATTCCTGCTCACCAGTAGCACCCCACAGGAGAGTAAGACTTTTATTTGCCATAGCTGAAGGATTCGCAGCTTTATCTCCATTAGCAACTATTGGAGGATTAGGTCGCGATGACTTTCCTTTCGTGTCTGTAAGAATATGAAATTTATTATTTATTACCTGTATTCATAGTCAGGCTTTAATATAATTAATATAAGAGATATCTGGAAAGGAGGAAAAGGATGAAAGATAGAAGCATAATAGCTAAATACACATATAAAAATGAAACAAGAGGAGGTCAGTATTGGAGAGAGGAAGAAGATAGGAGGTGCAGAATATACCAGGTTGCAGAGGAGAGTACACGTCACGTGTTAACGGGGTGATCAGACAAAAAATGAAATGCAGATAGGAGAATTTTTAGGAGAAGAGGACAAAGGACTGGAAATAATGAATAAAAAAGGTGAGAAAAGAAATAGAAAAGAGGGAAATAGCAGAGACAAAAGAGGATTCTAACTAGACGAACAGGATGTATATAAATCCTAAGCGATGTGTGTTTTATGAGGATGGACGTAAGATACCAAAGATACAAATAGTAACGTTTGGATATTGTTGTTCATTCGGATATATATAAGTTATATGTAAGTTCGGATATTGTTGCTCATTCAGATATATATAAGTTTGACTTTGTCGTTAATGTTAATTTAATTGGAGTTAATATACTGAGTGACTTTGCATCATGATAGGACTGACATCATAATAGGATAAGACATTAAATATAAAGAGATATAATAGCCAATAAAATAATTCGTAGAGCATCTAAAGATAAATTAAGAAAGCCTTAAATATAAGATCTGATTATGAATACGGGCATATATCTTTTATATTTATATACCTTAAAGCTTTGTTTCCATGCATGCATTGTCGTGCATTATAGCCTGTGTCAAATGCGTGCATATTTGTGCATGATCGTGTTTTCATACTCGTTTAATTGATGGAACGCATAAAGACACGCGTTTGACTTATGCATAACGCACGCGTGTATAGAAACCAAGAGTACGAATAATATTTAATACTAACAATCTTGAAATCCTGTTTGAGATTCTGATCTTGAAATCTGATGTGAATTATTCGCCCCAGCTTCCATCGGAGATCCACTTATGGTCGATGATATAGCCTCACTTTGTGACTCCAAATGTGACTGCATTGGAACAGCTTGATAATGATGTTGCTGTATTAGAACTCCTGTAGGCCCTATATATACATTACATATACATGTATACATAATTATATTAATATAATTTTAATAGATTTCATATAACATACATATATACAGTACACATATACAAGGTCCTTAAAAAGTTCGAAAACTATCAAATATTTCAAAAATGAAGCATTTTTAAGAAAAATGTTTCCGACAAAAGTTGTAAGGTTTTGAAATAATGTATTTACTAATCTGATCAACAGTTTGACCTCGGCATGGCATCGCCAAAATCAGGTCAAGGTCAGGTTGATTTTTTTTTAAACAGAACACTCTATTTTTTATTCCAGAATGTAATAGTCGGTATTAAGAGCTTTTCTATTAAAGTTATTTTTCATCAAGTTTACTTTTCGAGTTATAAGGCTTGAACGTTACAGTACCGCCGGCATTAACATTACGCAAAGTGTCCGACCGACGCAATGGCTAAAACCTTTTAAATATTGTTCATCATGTCCTGGATTTGTTAAGATCATGGTCATTGGAGATTGTTTCTCTTATTTTTATTTTTGCACTAAAAATTTATTTTTACATAAAAATGAAAATAAGAGAAACTATCTTCTATGATCTTGATCTTAACAAATGTTATTTACGGTATGATTCTGAACATTTAAGAGGTTTTAATCGTCGGTCGAGTACCTTGGTTAATACTAATAATGATACTATAACCTTCAAGCCTTATAACTCGAAAAGTACTTAATAAAAATGAACTGTATTGTAGCGTTCTGAAAAATTTTTGACATCGGCTATTACATTCTGGAATCAAAAATAGGGTGTTTTATTTTAAAAAATTGTTTTTCTGTAAAGTTGATAGTATTTAAATAAAAAATTATTCAAGACCAATATTTGACAATTTTTAGTAATTAATATCTTGTTAACTATGTGAAAATTGCAAAATGGTAGAGAACTTTTCGACTCAGTTTAGTCCGCTCTATCTACACAAAAGCGATTGGCAAAAACTTTCGGGATACCCTGTGTGTGCGCGCGCGCGCGCGCGTGTGTGTGTGTGTATGTGTGTGTGTGTGTTTTACTTATAAAAATAGTCAAGAAAAAATCATTTTCTTCATTCGTACGACAAATATGTATTGAGTGTATACAAGAGTTATTTGTGTCCTCGTTCAATTTTGAATATCCACTGCTCAACGAGAAGATGATGTCCACTGCTGGGTATCTTCCTCCACCCCACAAATTTTTTTAAGAATAAAATGGCGCGCCTGTACTCACTTGTTTTCAAAATATTGTTTTCAGAACTATAAAAATCGCTTGAACACAAATGACCCTTGTATACACGGTGAGGGATTCATATATGTCCACACATTTAATAAATGTTCTATTCTATCAATAAAAAAATAATAGCTTTAATTTCTTCAACTTTCTGATGTTTACCTTGTATATAAATAACATTTACATATGAGTAAATTATATTTACCAATATAAATTATTATACAGGGCGTTCTGAATTTAAATGGCCACACTTCGGGAGCGTTTAAAAAATCAGTAAACTAAAAAAAATAATCCTTTACAGATATGCTCGTTTTCGCTTCGTTCTAGAGAAAATCGCAAAAAAAGAACAAAATGAAAATTACAATTTTTATTTTTTTGTACTTATTACTTATTCATTTACATTTATTTATTCATGTTGTTACTTTTTTAATGTACATATTGTTCAAAATATTGGCCTCTTACAACAATGCAAGCATTGCAGATGCAAGAGATGTTGTCTACTACAGACAACCAAAGACTGATCTGATGATATTTCATGCACTACAGTGATTCCGTCTCTTAACATTATTGTTTTCGTGTATATTCAGGAATAATGCTTCAGAAGCACTGTAAGAGTATGCGCGCCGATTTTTAGACAGAAGAATGCTGGATCAACAAATCATTATGTTGACCAGATCGACTACAACACGAGCTGTCTATACAAGATGCGTGCATTGCTGTAAAAGGCCAACATTTTAAACAATATCTACATTAAGCAAGTGACAACACAAATAAATAAGTGTAAATGAATAAATAATAAATAAGTACACAAAAATGAAAAGTAGATTGTCTTTTTTTGCGATTTTTTCCAAAACGAAGGGAAAACGAATATATCTCTAAAAATCTTTTTCTTACAATTAGTTTATCGATCCCCTACATACCAAAGTTTGATCATTTATTCGAGACACTCTGTATATTATGAAACGAATAATAATGGTATAAAACAAATAATAATACCTTTCGGAAATATATGAGTCCACCGTCGTCTGTTGCTGGTAAGTTTAATGGTAACATGTGATGGATCAAAAGGATTGATTAATGCTCTACCAGGCCTAAGTATATTCGTTGGCTGAGAAATTGAATTTGTTGGACTACCAGCACTACCAACAACAGGTCTAAAAGGTGGAGATATTTCAGAGTCAGTTAAATCGCTTTTAACTGGCGTTTTGGATACACCTACAATTATTGAAACTATTTAATAAATATCTTAACAATATAAAAATTATTACCGAACATTTATGAGCTTACCAGTTCTATCCTCATTAGATTCGATATTACTGTCATCAGTTTTGTGCGGTATTGTTATCGCTGCACTTCGTAATGCAAGAATTGGCGGTGAATGTGTTTCAGGTGGTGGATGATGTATATCAGGATCCGACATTTTACGTTTCAAGAGCTTTAATAAATAGCCATTATTATGAGTTTCAAGACACACTACGCTTGTCTTTTTCCTTCTTGTATTTAACCTTTGTACACTAAATTGATTGAAAGAAACGACAATAAAATATATGTACTAATTCAATAAAATAACAATGATTAGATTTATTTATTTGTGTGTGTGCGCGCACTCGCGCGTAGGTATGCATCATGCGTTTACACATTAATATATATTTCCTTATTAATATACATTTCTTCGTTTATAATTTATATTTCTACATTATAAATACATTATATATTCTACATTATAAATTGAAAAAGGAAAAAAATATTATTTTATCATATTAAAAACAAATATTTCAGATTTATTAAGCTAAATATATGAGCATGTGATGCTAAACAATAATGTATTTAGTTTATTTACCTTGAAGTATGAACTGTGGGTAATTGAAACACTTGTGCATCATAAGCATCGTAATCGAATAATGTATTATGCAGACATTCTCTTGGATCTTCTTGCAGAAGTCTGGTTTTGCAATGTAATTTGTCATTATCTGTCAGATGTTTCGATATCTTTTGCGGCAATTTTATTCGTGGTATAAATGTAGAATAAGGAATCTTTTTATTTGTGGAATAGAAACTAAGATTTATCCAGTGAGGCATGCTATAATCATCTGGTGCATTTATAGAAGAAT